ACTGTGGGCAGACATCTTAATGAACTGTGTTGCAGTGTCATCTGCTAGCGGTGCATTCGCCTTACGCAGGTGTTTTACTGTCTGGGTTTTTGTTTCTGCTTTCACTGGTCTTGGTCTGAGAGCATTCGTGAACCTCTCCTTGTTTTGGTTCCATGAGATGTAGTCTGGTGTTTGTTTTGGTTTCTCATTATTTATAGTGGCTGAAATAAAATGTTTTATTTATGAAATTTGGTGAAATGTCTGGGTGGTACTGTTTGACTAACGAATTAGCTATTTTCCTTATTTTAGCAGAATCGTGTCCATATTCATTTAATGTATTTTTATGTAATTTGTTGCGTGTTGGAGCCGTGATTTAACGCTTCTTATTTTGCTTGCATTAACCGTGAAGGACAATGTCATATTTGTTAGTCTTGTCAAGTCTGTGGGTATCATGTGAATTATGGCTTTCATGTCACGCTTCTTCATGAAGCAAGAGGACGTATAACCGTTTTTTGTCATATAAGGACTAGAGGCATCTGTGCCTTTTTTATCACGCCCATAAGAATATATGAACAGTGATATATTGATATAAATTGTATGATAATGTGATATATATACAACTGGCGCTTATATCCAACGTGACTGGGGCTCAGAGTGAGTTGAATTACAAATTGATATAAATTGTATGATAATGTGATATATATACAACTGGCGCTTGTATTCAGTCATGGGTAGGAATTCATGACGAGAGACCAGGTGTAGGGTGTCGTTTGTACGGAGTGTCCGGTCAGGTCTGTTTGCTGTTATGACGTCTAATTTGGACAAAGTGTGTTCTGTAACACATGTCTGTTTGTAAGTTGTTTCTTATTCTATTCACCTAAATTTACTAAATTTAATCTTATGAAATCATCCAGGGTAAGAGGCCGATAGATATAGACTACCCTAATTTGTAAGTTGTTTCATATGAGTTTACATCTAATCTACTTAAATCGTCCAAGGTAAGAGGTTTCAGTCGACATTTCCTTTTTTTTCAAGGAAATTATTCAGCACTGACATGACTATAGACTACCCGAGGAGTGAATGAAAGAAACGTAACTTTCTGCACCACAGCTGTTTTATTTACATCTGGCGGGGATCGCTCACGCCGTTCGTCGACGAGATCTGCGCATGAAATGTTATTGTAGCTGTCTGACATTTCTTGGTGGAACCATGATTCAATAATTCATAGCACGTACTTATGAGTATATGATTATCTTTAAAGTGGTCGAGGAGATATTGATGTTCAATCTTGATGTTGTGTCGTGATCGCCGGTCTTATTGAGGATTTTGTCCACTTTTGTATGTATGTATGCATATATACATATATGTTATATATATATATATATTATATATATATATATATATATATATATGTGTGGTGTGTGTGTGTGTGTGTGTGTGTGTGTGTGTGTGTGTGTGTGTGTGTGTGTGTGTGTGTGTGTGTCTGTATGTATTTTAGTCTGTGGTCTAAGTCCATGAGGCCTCATTTCTCTAGCCCTATATGTACTGGGAATAAACCGCCTGATTAGCAGGAACAGCGAGCAAAGAAAGAACCTCGGGGTCCCTGCTTTGTTTCAAACCACCCCTGACTACTCGCCATGATAATGGAGAGCCACGGCGGTTCATTTTAAACCTTTCGTGAGATGAAAATAATGAAGATATTTACTGAGAACGCGAGTAATGGCCAAGCGATGTGGTTTCAGACTTAGAAGAGAGGTGGGGATTCAGCGCCATTTTCATTTTTCCGGGTTGAGGGTAGTCAGCACCTTGCATTTTTTATGTGACTTTTGTTTTCTTGTTCTAGTTTTGCTCGTTGCCTTTAGTAGGAGGGAGGGAGGGAGGGAGGGGGGGAGGGGACTGGAGATTGGCTGGGGTTGGGGGGGGGCCTCTTCTGACAGATGCTCTTTTTTCACAATCGTTGACTGGAGAAGCATTCCGTCTTGTTGAAAACATTTCTATCACGAAATCAGATTGAAAGAAAGGTTCAAAGTGAGTTTAGGTATGTGATGCTCGTGGAAGAATTTTGCAAAGGGTGAAGGAATGTAGTAAAACGCAGATTATGAATAATATATTACTAGTATTTTACTCATGAGTTTATGCTCGCGCGCGCGTCCCATATAGATTCTGCATTTTGTCATTATTCCAGGAAAGCACAGCCTCTAGATAATGACTCGTAAACTGCTTTATTTGATAGAGATAGCAACTTTGATGTATACATTTAGTCTACACGTAAAAATGATTCCTTGCATAACTTATTGAATAAACTTGCTAGTAGTTTCTTGTAATTTGGTATCAACCGATGTGTCTGTCACTTTCTACTGTGAAGTTTCAGAACCTGTTGTTCTGAAACTATAAGATGTCGTTTCTCTAGGGTTTGCGGTCTGACCTGTTTGTTGTTATAACGTCTATTTGGACAAAATGTATTCTGTAACCTTGTATGTGTCTATCGTGTCTCCAACGTCCCCGCAGACCGTTCGCCGCA